ATTCTCGCCGCAACTATCTATGAGCCGCTTGGTTTTGGGACCACTAGAGGGAAGGTTATGTAGATGAAGAAGATTGCCTCTTTTCTCGCTCATGTTGACGCCAAAACTTCTTGTGAATATTGTCTATTTCTGTTTTGAATTTGATCCATTGTGGAGTTCAGTGTGCATTTAGCTAGATCTAGCAACTCTTAGGTATAGAAATTTTGTTTGGCTGCGAGGAAAGTGGTAGGAACTAAGAAAAATTATTATTTGATTTTGGGATTTTTTTGGGCCACAATTTTTATTTCCTAAATAATTCTCTTAAGAACAATCATTTTAGATTTGGTAAATGGGTTGATCTTGCAAATATTAATTGTCTGTCTAATCTATTGTTTCCATTGTATCTGGTAAGAATGGATTATGGATTTGATACCTTCAATTGCTTGTTCAATTCTAAAACCAAATCTGGGTTTAAGAGAGGAAACAGAAGGGAGAAGAGAGAGAGAGAGAAAGAATAAGAAAAAGAAAGAAGAAGGATGAGTTGAGAAAGATAGGAGGAAATGAGGAAGAAGATGAAGTTTGAGAGAGAACCCAGATCTGGGTTTACGGAGGTAAGGGAAAAGGAAGGGTAAAGGAGAGAGAAAGTGAAAGAGGAAAAAGAGATGACGTGAATGGAGAAAAAGGATATCAAAATTTTTAAATTAAATAAAAATGCCACCTCGTAAGAAAAGATGGCCAACTGTGTTTTTTTTTTTTTTTCATGTCATTAATCAAGCAAAAAAAGAATTGATTTTGTGGCATTTTAACGTGCCACTTGTCATTTAACTGACGGAAGGATTATTTCGGTATTGAAAATGAAGGTTTAAGGATAATTTTGATACTTTTTAAAGTTGAAGGACAATTTTAGTATTAAAGTGAAAAGTTAAGGGGCCAAAATGGTACTTTAACTATATATTACTATCCATTGTACTAAAAAAAAGGTCAAAAATAATTATTTTGAAATAAAAAAATATAAATATATAAGTATATTTTTATGAGTTAAAATATAATTATACGTAACTCTTATACACATTATAAAGTTTTAATCATTAATCTTTTCAC